TTGCCCAGGCGGGTCTCGAACCCGCGGGCTCGGGCAATCCTCTCACCTCAGCCTCCCAAAGTGCTGGGATTACAGGCTGAACCACCGAGCCCGGCTCTTTTTTCTTTTTTTGAGTTGGAGTCTCACTCCATCGCCCAGGCTAGAGTGCGGTGGCACGCTCACAGCCACCCCAGCATTGACCTGCTGGGCTCCGGTGATCCTTCTGCCTCAGCCTTCCAAGTAGCTGGAACTACAGGCGTGTGCTACCACACCTGGCTAGGTTTTGATTTATTGTAGAGATGAGGTCTCACCATGTTCCCCAGGCTGGTCTTGAACCCGCAGGCTCAGGCAATTCTCTCGCCTTGGCCTCCCAAAGTGCTGGGATTATAGACTTGAGCCATGGCGCCTGGCCAAGGTCCCACTTTCTACCCTGGCTCATGGAGCGTGCCAGAGACTGGTTAGTGTCTCGTCACAGTATCCAGTCAGACATTTCCTTCTGAGACTCAGCTTTGCTTTCCTCTCTTCTCCTGAATCCTACCTTCATGAGGGACTGCACTGTGACTTCCCTACACTCTGGAGGCAGAACGATTCAGAAGATGTCTCTAAGGAATGCTGGGTCCCTGCCTGGTTCTCCAAACACAGGGCTGCCCTTTTTTGGGATGGGACTCAGTGAGGAGATGCTTGGGTGTTGAGGTTTTGAGAGAGACCAGGCCGGTCTTTGGGCTCCTGCATCCGAGTGGGTCACATGCTTAGCTCTGATGTTCACAACTGGCTCCAGGGAACTGACTCCTGCCAACCAAACTCATGAGAGACTGAAACATCTGAATTCAAATTTTATATTTAAGCTGGATATATTTGTAGGATTGGGAGGGATTATTCATCTCCTGTGACCACAATATTTGCACCTGTTACCCACAGCAGTCTTTTGTCTTTTATTTTCAGTTGAAAGAAATTTACATGCCAGGGGTACAGGGTGGGTCTGCTGTCAGTGGCCTGGCTAGAGGTAGAAGGATGGACAAGTCCCAGCGGCCCATCGGCATCAGGCCTTAGGGAAGAAGCAAGATTTATGAGGTGAGAGCCTGCCTGGACCGCTTCTTCTACTGGGAAAGGCCTCCCTGCAGTATTTTCTGTCTCGTCAATGCTGCATTTCATTTTAAATTGCAGCTGAAAGCAGATATTTTCCCTCTTGCCTATTACACCTCTTAATTTGTCTCTCCCTCTGCTGTTATTCGTCTCTATAAAGTGTTTTGCACGAAAGATCCACACAGCACAACGTTGCTTTGCCCTGGGTTAGGTTTAACAGGAAGGGAAGATGCAGAGACTAAGCCCAAGGAGGAAGGATAAGGACCTGGGAGTTGAGAATATGCATGTCTGGAAGTGTATGCCTGGTGACGTGTACATGCGTGTTTTTTTGAGGTATCTGCTGCATGAGTGTCTGGGTGTGTGTGTGTGCACATCAGTATTAGTACTAATACGTGTATATGTCTATGTATACTTGGGTATAATCTCTCGGGTGTTCATACCTAAATTAAGTGTATGCTTGAGGGTACAGACAGACCTACAAGTCAACCTCTGGGTGAATATGTATCTATGCATAGAAGCACACATGTGCACATAAACACACAAAAACACCTAGGTACATGCCTGACACATGATGAGTGTGGCCTTCTGTGCACATGCCCAGGGCTCCTTTCCGTGCTTCTCAAGGCTGCAGTTGGCATCTCTCCCTGCCCCACCCGGGGGCCCTGGCCCGGTTTAGCGTTGTGGGAAAGGGAAGGCCGCGCGATGGTCTGCCGGGGGCCGACAGAAACACCGCCTTCGACCCAACCGCGGCCACAGCGCTCTGGCTTGATTCCAGCCACCCCTCCTTCACAGCCTGCCACCGAGCAGCACCGCCGCGGC